AAAACATCTCCAATATTTTTCCTTTTCATTTTTTTAAACCTTTGAGTTGTGTGGTAATCAGCTCCCAATGATCCCTGCCTCTTGGAACTCATGCCATTGTATAATCTTCTTGCCTTATGCTTTGGGCTGGATCTAGTTGATATGCTTCTGAAGAGAACATAGCACAAGTGATGAGATGCCTATTCTGAGATTAGGATATAAAAGACTATGACTTCTCTCTTGCTTGCTCCATTTCTCTCTGACTTTTCTTGTATGCTTGCTCTGATGAAGCAAGCTGTAAATCATGAACTGTACTATGGAGAAGCTTGTGTGGCAAAGAGGTGAGGGCAACCTCTGGCCAAAAGCAACCAAGGAACTGAACCCTGCCAAGAATCATGTGAGTGAGCTTGGAAGTGGGCCATTCCTTAGTCAAGCTTTCAGGTGAGACTGTAGTCCCTGCTGGCATGTGGATTTCAGTTTTGAGAGAGACCCTAAACAAAGGATCCAGATAAACTATGCCTGAATTTCTGCCCATAGACACTGTGATAAAATACATGTATAATGTTTCAGACACTAGCTGTAATAGATAACATCTATCTATATACAGAAAATCACATATAAATGCATGGCTTGATGAAATTTTATAAGCTGAACATACCTGTGTAACCAAAGGTAGATGAAGAAATAGAAAATTATCAGAATCCTAGAAAACTCCACTCATATTCCCTTTTAGTCATTAGCTGAAATGTTCCCCTTCCCTGGTCAAAAATGACTTCTATTCTAACTTCTAACAGCATAACTTTGTTTTGCTTGTTTTGGTACTTTATGTAAATGGGATCACACACTATGTAAAATCGCTTCCAGCACATTCTCAGAGAGAGCCCTTGATACATTGAGAACCACTGAGACACATGGAGAGAGAGCCAATGATTGACATGTTTGTCAGTAGTTATCCATTACAGTCTTTATCTGAGAGTAGGCGATCTGCTTTTAGAAGAGAAGTATTGGTTACTGAACAGAAATAGTCTTAGAATAGGAGAAACAATTCATTTACCCACCATGGCTCTGCAGCCATGTGCTGTAAGCCAGTTCCTTTTGCCTTGAGTTTCTGATCCCCATGTTATTGTTTTAGAGATTTTATTTATTTATTTGACACGGAGAGAGAGGGTGCACAAGCAGGAGGAGCAGCAGGCAGAGGGAGATGGAGAAGCAGGCTCTCCGCAGAATAGGGAGTCCAATGCAGGGCTCTATCCCAGGACCCTGGGATCACAACCTGAGCTGAAGGCAGATGTTTAACCAACTGAGCCACCCAGGTGCCCACCCCATGCCCAGATCATATAGTTAGAGGCTAACTGGTGAGTCACATACAGGTTCATTCATTTCTACTCTGAGTTTCTAGCCACAAAACTGTAGTACCCTGCAAAGCTCAAGATCAAAGTCTGCTTGTGACAGTGAGAATCCACTTGAGTAGTCAGTTGCATTCCTTATCACTTCTGCTTTTCTATTCACCCATCTGTCCATTCATTTGATGATCTGTCCAATCAATTATCCATCTGCTATGCTCTGAATGTTTGTATGTCTCCAAAATTCATATGTTAAAATCCTAAACCCTCAAAGTGACGATACTAAGAGATGGGGGTCTTTGGTATCTTTGGGCTTCTCATGAATGAGATTAATTTCCTTCTAAAAGAGGCCCAAGAGAGCTCCTTTGCCTCCTTCTGCCATGTGAGTATTCCAGATATCTGCAACCCAGAAGAAAGAGGGCCATCACTTAAAACACGCTGGCACCCTGATCTTGTATTTCCAGCCTCTGGAACTATAAGAAATATATTTCTGTTGTTTATAAGCCTGTTCTGTTGTTTATAATACCCAGTCTGTGCTGTTTTATTTTAGCAAACTGACTGGGCTAAGACACCATCCAACCTTCCAACAATCCATCCAACCCTCCATCCATTCATCTAACTATCCATCTAGTCCCAGATACCATGTGTGGCTATCCATTCCACAAATACCAAGGGCTTCTTCTATGCTGATTCTATGCCAGGAAGAGGCTGACTAGGATACGAAAGCTAGGTTCCCACTAGACTTGGAGCTCCCTGAGGGTGGAATCTCTTGTTTTTATGTGCGAGGTATATAAAATATGATAGGGCTCCTGTCTTCCTTTCCAACTCTATTTCACCTATCTATCTTCTTGCTCATTCCTTTTCAACCACACTGGTCTCTTTCTGTTTCTAGAATAAGCTAAGCCTTCTTTTGCCTTAGGACTTTAGCAATTGCTGTTCCTTTTGACCCAAATGTTCATCCAACAGTGTCAATAACTGGCTCCTTATCCTTTGCATTTTAGCAAAAAATGTCTTATCCTCAGAGGGACCTTTTCTGATCACCTTATTCTCTGCCCCTATGCTAGCAATAACTGCTTATCATCTCATCCTGTTTATTTCCTTTATGGCATTTCTCACAATCTGTAATCATCTTGTGTATTCATTGCCTATTTTCTAACTCCCTAATTAGAAAAATAAGCTCTAGGAGGCCGGCAACTAAGTTTCTCATCTTCTTTCTGCATGCCTTCAGCCTGGCTAGCCCAGTAACTGACACATAGTAGGCTTTCAACATTTATTTGTTGAATAAATGGATGAAAGATGCATAACCAGATCCTCCCAATATTAGCAAGCTTGAAGAATAGTAGAAAATAAGCCTGAAATATAGAGGCGGAACAGAGAGGGCCTTGAAAAACAAGGTGAAGGGGGTTATATTTGATGTGAACATGGTGATGAGACTCTTCAGTGCAGGATGAAAATGGTGATTTAGAAGGAGGACTTGGTATGCCGCAATCTGCCATAAAACCTTAATTTAAGTGATTCACTGTAGCATCTTGCAATGAATTATTACAAGAGTTAATCAGGTCCCGGGACCTGAATTGTATTCTTTTCCCTTCTGATAGATTATACAGTGTGGGAACTCAGCATGGCTCTAGGAGTTTCATAGAACTATATGTAATATTTAATTAATTGACTATGGTGAATTATAGACCAAGTGATCATGGTGAAAGCCCTGTAAGGTGAGATCCTTGTTCATTTACTGCAGGCATCTGGCTTGCAGGAGATAAATTATTTGTTCAATGAATAAGTGAGTGGAATAGTCATGCGCTTGACAGAGTTGGGTTAGATAGGATCTGCTGCTAGCTGTGTGACCTCTGAGATCTTTAACCTAGCTAAGGGTCAGTTTTCTCATCTGGAAAAGAAGGAGAAGACTTCATCAGAGGATTTTAAATGGGAGCTTATGGGAAAATCTCTGACAGAGTGGACACTTAGTAATTTAATTTCCTTCTGTTACTTTGGAGATGCTGAACCTGTACTGAATATGATTTCTTATCAGCTTTTCCCAAGAGCTCCATGACTTAAAATAGAGCATATGGTAACACTTAGTTTTTGCCATTTTCAGTCCTTTTAGTGTAAACTTGAAATTCTGTCTCTGAAATTTACTAGCTAAGTGACCTTGGGCACTCTCTTTGCGCTTCAGCTTCTTTTTCTACAAAATGGGTATAATAATAGTACCTGTCTCATAGGAGTAGTGTAAGGATTGAGATGGTATATTACCGGTTTGTACTAGGCCCTGAAAGGCAGAAGGTACTCAATAAATGTTAGCTGTAATTATTTACAATTTAAGTTTTTAAAAAAAGATTTTATTTGAGAGAGAGAGAGAGAGAGAAACAAGGAGGGGTAGCTGAAGAGGGAGAGCAGGCTCCCCACTGAACAGGGAACCCAACACTGATGCCAGGCTCCATCCCAGGACTCTGGGATCATGACCTGAGTTACCCAGGAACCCCTGGAATTTCATTTTTTTAACTCCCCTTAATGCTGTCAACTTTTCTCCCCTCCCTCCTGTCGGCATTCTCAATGCCTACAACCTCTTCTGGAGAATAAGCTGATTCTGCGGTGCAGCCTGAAATAAATGGGTCCGGTAGATTCTTCTAGACACGACAAATCGAGAGACTTAGAGTGGAAAGAAAAGTAGGAGCATTAAGACATGGAAGAGAGAGACTTTTTGAACCTGTCACATAGAAGAGGCCAGGAAAAGAAAAGGCTTAAGCAAGGAAGCAAGTGCGTCCACTTTCTAGTGAATTTGGAGACAGCAAACAATATTCACATGTAAGTCCCCCCGTGCCTCAGTACTCCTCTCTGGAATGTTCATCAGCTTCCTACAGTACGCAGGGTGTCCCTCCTCTTGTCACGATTAGCATTTTCCTACTTTGAAATAAGTAGGTGCATTGTTCCTAGAAAGTGGAGAGAAGTCAAGGAAAACACTCGCTGCGTGGGGGCTGGAGCGTCTGTCGTGAGGTTACGGAGAAGGTCTTGCAACATCATTCTACACCCCCAGCGCCTAGCACAGGGCCTGGCTTAGCAGGAGCTCCAAACATGTGTCTAGAATGATTTTCAAACTTTAGTTGGCCTTGTCAAGGAGGCTTGCCGTGCCCACACGCGGCCGCCAGCAGGTCCGCGCCTAGAAATAACATTTATTCTAAGGACCTCGGCGCAGGGATCCTTGGGAAGCTGCTCCCCTCCCGCATTCGCCTTGTTGCTCCTCCCCCCGCCCCCTCTCCCCCGGTCGCCTTTGAAAGAACGAGCGCGCCACGTGATTCCCTCCTTTCTCCCACCTCCGAAAGCCTGACTGATAATGGGCAAGAGCGTAGGCCAACCGTAAAGCGTTATTTCCCCTGGCAGCCAATAGAAAGAGGCGAGGAGTATGGGGCTCAGCTTTTGTGACTTCCCCCGTGCCCTCACGCCTCCTCCAAGGCTCAACATTTGACAACTCGTCCGGCCAATGAGAAGTTCCGACTGCGCCCGGGGGGGCGGGACCGGCCCGGCGATTGACGCCCCCGCCTGGCCAATGAGGTGTCGCACGGGCGGGAGGGGTGTAGGCCGGAACCAATGGCGCGGTGCCAGTAACGAGCATCAGGGAAAGGGCGGGACGAAAGTGTTGAAGGGAGGGAGGGGAGGGCCCAGGGAACCGAGCCGCGCTGCCGCGGCCGCTGCACCCCGAGCTGGAGGAGGGAGAAGCCAGGAAGAAAATGGCGGCCGTGGCTGCAGAGGCGGCAGCGACTGCAGCGTCGCCCGGGGAGGGGGGCGCCGGCGAGGCCGAGCCGGAGATGGAGCCGATCCCCGGCAGCGAGGCCGGCACTGACCCCCTCCCGGTCACGGCGACTGAGGCGTCTGTGCCGGACGGCGAGGCCGACGGGCAGCAGCCCTCTCCTCGGGCCGACGAGCCGCCGCCGCCGCCGCCGCCGCCGCCGCCGCCGCCGCCGCCGGGGGAGCCCGCCCGCAGCCCCGAGGCGGCGGGGCCGGAGCTGGAGGCGGAGGAGAAGCTGCCGGCCCGGGCGGCGGAGCCGGCGGCGGCCGCGCCCCCGGGGCCCGCCGACCTCCCGCCTGCCCCCGCCGCGCCGCCCGCGCAGCCCCCCGCGCCCGAGGAGCCGCCGCCGCCGCCGCCGCCGCCGCCGCCGCCGCCCGCAGCCCCGGCGCTCGTGGACTCGGCGGTGTCGCAGCTGATCCCCGGCGCGGAGGTGCGGGTCACGCTGGACCACATCATCGAGGACGCGCTCGTCGTGTCGTTCCGTCTGGGGGAGAAGCTCTTCTCCGGGGTCCTCATGGATCTGTCCAAAAGGTACCGCGCCCGCCCCCAGCACGCCCCCGGGCCCGCTTGGTCCCCAGGGAGGGAGCGAGCCGCCGCGGCCCCCCCGCCCCGGGCTGCGGCCGCCCGAGCCCTGGGGTCCCGCGTGGGGCCGGCGCGCCGGGCCGCGAGAGCGCGGTCCCCGCCCCAGGTGGGCGCCCGTGAGCGCAGGTGTGTGACCGGCGGCCGCGCGCACCTCTGCACCCCCGCTCGGTGGGCGCGCCCACCCGGGGCTGGTGGGGCAGCGCCAGGCGCGGCCGGAGTTGTGCAGCCTGGTGCTGGGCGGGGGACGCTGCTCGTGGGGGCACGTTCCCCCTTAAACTCACCTTTACCGAGGCTGGAGAAAGGGGTGTGTGCGTCGGGGTCCCCGAAAGGTTAGCTGACATCCCTGTTTGTTAGACCCGGACGTCTAGACTGTTCCTCTCACCGTTAGAGCTGATTGCCCCTTCGCTAACTGCAGCGGGGAAGCACACTTGGCTAATTAAAGCGATAGTTTTAAGAAAGGCCTAAAGAAGAGAGAGTTTTTTTGTTTTGTTTTGTTTTTTGTTTTTTTTTTTTACATTTTATAATATCAAGATGGTATGGTATCGAAATGTCCAAATAATCGACTTCTGAACTGTAGATAACAGTTTATGTACGAAGAAGGTGCAAGAAGGTGGAATTCACCCGCAAGCCTTTGGCTTAGCACATTTTCATCGTTGATTTAAAATGTGTATGGGCGTTGCTTTAAACAGGTAAAGAAGCTATCCTAAGTCTAGAGTTAAGTTAACCTTTGTATTCTCTTCTTTTGCAGATATGAAGTGCAGAGACTCCCATTCACGGCTCTCCATTCTGTTTCCTGCAACAGCACACACTCTGATGGGTATCTCACCTGTTTGGAAATGGCTTACTTTAATATGTCTTATTTTTTTATTTTTAAAATTTATTTATTTGAGAGAGAGAGAGAGAGAGAGCATTGAGCAGGGAGAGGGGCAGAGGGACAAGCAGATTCCTCACTGAGCAGGTCTGGGGTGGGATCAACCCCTAAGACCCTGAGATCATGACCTGAGCTGAAGGCAGATGATTAAGGACTCAGCCACTGCAGGGGCCCCCAGTATGTCCCCCCACCCTCAGTATGTTTTATTTTTGACCCCTTGTTGTAGCATCAAAGACACCATCTTTTTCCCATTTGGAGGCCTGTGCGGGTGGGAGGGAGGGAATTTAGTATACATGTGGAAGGCAGTTAGAGGGCAGGAGAGACCTGAGAAAATAAAAAAGTATAAAAATACACATTGAAGTAGGGCCCTTGGGCAGGGAAGAAGATGGGAGCCTTTATAATTATTATTATTGTTTTTTAAGATTTATTTGGGAGAGATCACGAGTGGGGGAAAGGGCACAGGGAGAGAAGAATATCCAAGGAGACTCCTTCCTTCATAGCACGGAAGCCCCTCACCTCCCCAGTTTATCTCACAAACCATGAGATCAGGACCTGAGCTGAAACCAAGAGTGGATGTTTAACCGAGTGAGCTACCCAGTGCCCCACTTCTTCTTTTTTTTTTTTTTCCAGGTTTTATTTTTTATTTATGTATTTTAGAGAGCAAGCATGAGCGGGGGAGGAGAGAATTGGAAGGAGAGAATCTTAAGCATACTCTTCACTGAGTTCGGAGTCTTCTCATGTCCCATGAGATCCTGAGCTGAAACCAAGTCCTTCTGTTAACCAATAGAGCCATCCAGGCACCCCAACAATTATTTCTGTACATTGTTTAACCTCAAAAGCTTTTTTTTTAGTTTTCTTTCCTTTTTTTTTTTTTTTTTTTTGAGAATTTTGGATTAGGACCTTTGTACTTACGTTTTCATAGTTAGAAAGCAGAATGAGACCAATGTGCTTCCTACTGATGTATTTCATAGTGAAGGAGAGAGAGACTCAGTAGTGTGTATGCTATTGAATCAAACAGAAGTGAAGGCCAGTGATTGTGTGAGAATCTGGATTTCAAATCTGCAAAAGGAAGGTGTAAAAGGTAAGTTGTTCCTGGAAGTGAAACGGATAGTTCTTTCCTCTGTTGAGGCGCTCATTGTGTTGGTGTTTTATTTTTTGAAATTTTCTTTGATAGGAAATGGCAGTTTATTTTTTGGCTTTTGTTCTACTTTGCCAACCGTGCTTCTTACAGACACCAGTTCTTTGGTTGAAGGAGCTATTTTTATTATGAACCTTTTGCATTTTAATGTTAGGAGGTGAAAGGTCTGTGTCATTAAAATCTTTTGTGAAAGGTCAAGGAAATCCTGTCACCTTTTCATTCAACTATTACTTATTGATCACATCTGCATGTAAGGCACCCTCTTAGTATTTTGAATATTACGAGATATGGTCCCTGCCTCTGGAAGTTTCTATGTGGGTGGTAACCACATTGTGGAATTGGTGAAGAAAAACAGTGTCTTTAAAATTTAGCACTTGAAGGAATTATCGGACTAATGAATGACTAGTTGGGTATTTTTTTTTTTTTTATATAATACAATGGAAAAACAGATCTGCCCATATATTTTGTAATCTGTGCTTTACCTTGATTGAATACTCGATGCACAGTTTTGGGGTTAACTGATAATCCAGTAGATGCTCTAGATTGTACCACGATTGTGACTACAGTAATCAGCTGCTTTAAAAACAGTTTGCATCATACTCGAATTGGCCATTTAATGAAATCTTTGGGTAAAAATAACAAGAGTTTCCTATTATGTACCAGGCATTGTACCACTTGCTCTAGTCTTTATAACTCTTGGTATTTTTCATTTATATAGGAGGAAATTGAAGTTCATTTAATTTGGCCAGTCATTGAGCTTACAAATGGCAAAAGTAAGGATTCAAATGTAGGTTGATCTGATTCTAAAGCCTGTACTTCTACATTCATGTTATAAAGTTGGGCTGACAAATTTTCTTTTAAATAAACTGCATATTTCTGAACTTTAGTGCCTATCCTGATTTCAGTAGCTGTACGGGGTAATACAACTGGTATGGGTATTGGAGCAAATGGATTCTTTAGTCAGGTAATAGCCATGAGACCTTCTGCTCTGGAGCTTCCTCATTTCCTTAGCTTTAGCTGTGTATTGTAGAACACACAGCAGCCTCTGAAGTCGTGATTCTTGCCTGTTCAGTGAGGTACTCAGGAAAGAATTAACATTTGGGAGACTATTAAGTGCTTCATGTATGTGTATGGTTTTCTTTAGTCTTAAAAAGGAAAAGGGCCAGTTACTGCCTTTTTGATAATTTTATTCTGGCATTATCCATGGTACAGAAATGTTTTTTAAAGTTGGAAGAGTTGTTCACTGTGTTCAGTCCTCATATACAGCTTGTATTATATATGGATTGCTCTAGACTCTGCTTTTGTAAGCATTTAACATTCTTCACCTTCTATCATTGTAGTATTTTTAGCCTTATTTTTAGTTATTTGATTGAATAGCACATTTTTGAGGAGAGTCTTTTCATGGAGAAAAGGAACAGGACCCACGTAATTTAAAAGAAAAGAAAGTGATAGTACCACTTACCAAGTAGTAGCAGATTGATCTGGACAGAGTGTCAAGGTAGTTGGGGTCCAACTTCTGGTGCCACGCTCTCTAGTTAACACTATGACTTTGGGCAAATCTCCATGCCTCTTTGGGCTCCAGTCTCTCTAGTTCTTAGGAGGTTCATTCGATTTCTGGCAGTTCACAAACCCAAACAAGCAAATAAACTTCATGACTTGGTTTATGTGTAGAGTGAGTAGGATGACCAGGTCGTATGGTTTTCCTGTATCATCCCAGTTTGATTGTTACTTCCCCCTCATGTCTTCAAAGTAGCTTGCTTTGGCTACTATACAAATGACATGGTCACCCTAAAAATGAAGATACTTGAATATCTGGTTAAAAATTTTATGTAGCATAGGATTTATTTTTTTAATTTTTTTTTAATTTTTAAATTTTTATTTATTTATGATAGAGAGAGAGAGGCAGAGACATAGGCAGAGGGAGAAGCAGGCTCCATGCACCGGGAGCCCGATGTGATGTGGGATTCGATCCCGGGTCTCCAGGATCGCGCCCTGGGCCAAAGGCAGGCGCCAAACCGCTGTGCCACCCAGGGATCCCCAGCATAGGATTTATTTGAAACTGAAAACCCTTTTATGGCATTCTTTAGTTTATTCTAGGCTCCTCCTCTGTTGTTTTCTACCCAGCTGTCTTAGGTAGTTTGAATTACCTGCCTACTCCTGAATTCATTAGCAATAGGTAAAGCCAATAATCTAATAGTAGCAGATAAAAGTAATCAGCTAACCCACAAATTCAGTTTGGTCTTCTTCCCTAACCTTAAACTTTTGAAATTTTGACAAACGTACATTTGTTTCTTCTTTAGCATTATAGAATTCACATTCCTTCAGGTTGCTAAACTGTCTTAATGATTATTTTAGAATAATCAGTGGTTGTACTGTAATTTTTTTGTTTTTATTGTGGGAAATGAACCTCCATGTATGTATTATCCTTGCTCTGACATTTATCAACTATTAATCAAACTTGCTTCATCTTATGTCTACTTCACTGGATTATTTTGAAGCAAATCCTAAACCTGTTTCTTCATCATAAGAATTTTGGTATAGATCTCTGAAAAGAAGTATTTTAAAGCCGTAATGTATAACTGTTATTGCAACTAAAATAATAACAGTGTTCCTTTCTATCATCCTATAGCAAGTCAGTGTTAAAATTTCAGTGTTTCAAAATTAATGTCTCAGTCAACATCTAAGTTTTGTTCAAATTAGGATCCAACTAAAGTTTATACTTTGTAATTGGTTGATAAGTTTCATGTTTTTCATCTGTAGTTCTCTTGCCATTATATTTTATTCCCTTGAAGTTGATTTGTTAAGGCATAGACTTAGGCAGAATTTTCCACATTTTGGATTTTTTTTCCAATTGCATCCCATTAGATGAATTTCCATGAGTTTTAAAAATAGTTCTTTTCCTTCAGGAGCATACTGCAGGGACAACCACCACAGCCCTCT